GGGAGGAGAGGGGGCCAGAGAAGCGGTGGGTGGAGGGGCATGGGCAGAAGCAGGAGGGGCCGAGGGGCAGAAGAATTTCCCAACAGTGAAAACAGGTTGTGTGAACAAAATCCATCTTTTCAATTCTGGGGGCCCTTTCTCCTGGAACTCTGTCCTGCAAGGCTTCTTTGGAACCAAGAGGATGCTGGGATGGATCGTGAGCAGTGTGTGTCCCCCAGAAGTTGATCACAAGGAACTGGGGGGCACAGCCCAACAACAGAGGGGACCTGTGAGGTAAGGGGCTGGCCCCGCGCGGGAGGGCAGGATCGTGAGGAGGAGATGTCCAGGTCCCGGAAGGGCACCCGCTATCTAAAGGGGGGTGGCAGACATCAAATCCTAGCTGACGACGGAGTCTCTGTGCAGTAAGACCTACCAATCTGGTCAAGGAAATCAGAAATCGGAATTTTTCCCATGAAATGAGATGTGAATGTAAAGTTTCAAGACTTTCCTAACCAAGTGAAGCCTGTCACTAAGAAGACTCCAACCTCGGCTCAGAAAATAAGTGCGAGGAATGCTGGAAGCACCGTGTCCAGTCTGTGACTTCACAGAAGGCGAGACGGAGGCTCCAGAGGACGGTGGCTCTGGTGGAGGCCAAAGCGAGTGGGACAGTGGACACCTGAAGGCAGGGGACCAGTGAGCCTGATGGGCTCTGCTCACAAGTGCTCAGGGGCCTGTCAGGGAGTCCTACTTGAAGGTCCTGGGGGCTGCAGGGGCTAGGGGTCAAGGCTGGTCACTTGCAGCTGCCCAGGCACCCGTCTGCTTAACCCCGAGGAAAGCTGAGCCGAGTCACGCACGGGTGGCGACCTGGGCACCAGCCGCGGGACGTTCTTAAATAGAGCTCGGGTATGACGCTCTCCATTAGAAGTTAACTTCCAAAAGTGAGACTTTTTGGAGGCATGACTATAATAGGAATGGAAGCTTATGCCTCCTAATTACATAATTGCATAATTATGTGATATTAAAATTATGTAAGCTGAACCAAGAGGCTGAAAACCTGGTCTGGATTTCCCTCATCACCTGGGGGTTCCCACGTGGCCTTGGGGTGGGGAGTCCACTGTGCTGGGGGAAGGGGATGTGAAGGGAGCCCGTCCAGACCAGACAGGGCAGAGTCAGGGGCTGTGGGGCCATCGTGATGTGAGGTCACCACGGCTCTGCCTCCTAAAGGCTGCTGGTCCCCACACTCTGGGGGAAACCCATGTAGAGGCCAAGGTGTGCACTGCTCTAAGGGAAGGAGACGCCCAGGCTCACACATGCCTGCCTGGCTCCACGCCCAATGAAGGCCTGACCAATCCTTCTGAGGTGGGGACATGGGACACACTTCCAGGTCAGATCAACCTCTTCCCCAAGTGCTCCCTCCCTAAGCCCTCATACGGGTGTCCCACACTCACTCTGCGGACAAGCTCCAGGTAAATCCTGTCCTCACACGGGAATCCTACACTCACACTAGACGCTATGCTTACACAGAATCCCACACTTACTCTGCGGACAAGCTCCAGGTAGATCCTATCCTCCTGCCGTGAAGAACCAACACTTCCTGCATGAGAAGGATGTCCCAGCTCACAGACACAGCCCCTCGTGGGCTCCTGTGCCACGATTTCCGTCTAGGACTGTCTCCATCTTTCCATGCACCCGCCTTCCTCCATCAGCAAGGTGGCAACAGGAGCTAGGTGGTTCCGGGACGTGGACCAGGTGGGAGGAGTTGCCAGCTCCTGTCCCACCTCATCTCCTCCCCAGTCTAGGGCACTCGAACAGGTAAGTACCGAGCTTAAACACTAACACTGCTGATCCTGGGAAACACAGCTGGCTCCAGGGCAGGGGAGGGCTCAGCGCCCTGATGAGGGCCAGTTCTCATAGTTCAAGATCCCTGCTCGAGTTCTCTGGACGCACGAGGGTTTGGTGTCTTCCTGGCCCTTTGTACATCCGAGCCAGCAGCAGGGCCCTCACACATCCCCCGCGAAAGAACAGAGGTGTGTCCTGAGAGACTCTTCCTTGGGGATGTCAGGGCCACTGAGCACTCTCTTACAGCACCCCAGAAGGACAAAACCAGTGACTGGCATTGCAAGGAGGCAAAGGAGGGAAAAAAACCCAAACCAAGGTCTGGGGTGTGGGCACGGGGCGGCAGGCAGTCTAGGAGACACTGAGGGAAGGCAACAGCAAGGCAAAGTAAAACCAACGACTGTGACCAACTGCTTCTGCCGTCAGGGCTAGGCATCTGTTCTACAGAGGAACTAGGAGGCAGGTGCTGCATGCAGCCCTCAAAACAACTGTTTTTACAGCGTCGGCTCCATGTGGGGACCGGCACCACTGGGCACTGCTACCCCGAGGACTGCAGAGGTGGGGGGCTGTGACCCCACGTGGGGGCAATGAGGAGGGGGCTGTGTCCCTGCATGGCGCTAATGAGCTTCTTTTCTTGTAAGTCACTGCTGTTTACAGTTCTCAACCCCGTCTGAACAGAGAGAAGGCTGCATGCCGACCGAGTTAATTCTAGAAGAGCAGACACACCGTACCTCAGGTACATTTTTCTTAAATTCCCGGCGGAGTTCAATTAAATGTTTATGAGAATGTTCACTCTCCTCCTGGCGTGCAGACAGCTCCGAGGCGACGGAGTTAAGCTCCTTCTGGAATAATAAAGGGAAAAAGAGAGAGAGGAAAAAAAAAAGGAAAAGATTTCCCCCTCCTTTTCCTTTTTAATCATCACACAAAACAGCATTCCCAACAAGTTTTCTTAACTTACAAAGCTGAGAAAAGACAGAATATTGACTCCTGGCACAGATGAATAATTTACAAAATGGGGGATGCAACTAGGGAAAAAAAAAATCCAGGGCAGGCTTTTTCTGCCCGTTGGAAGCCAGGCCAGATCAATAATTTCCCATCAAGTTGGGGGGAGCTGCTGTTTTTTTTCTTCGTCCCACTTCCTCCCTACCTCCCTGCCCCACCTCTTAAATTTCCAAAAGGAGTAATGGCATAAGCTTGTCAGTAACTGTAGAAAACATCTCCAAACCGTGTCAAAACAGTCAAGTGTGGCATATTGTATGGGCACATTATAGTGTAAGGAAGTGCGGCTGACAGACTTCATATATCAGGGGTGGGAACCGTTCCAACGAGGACTCGCACACACGGAAGCGTTCATAAATACGCCTTTTCAGATATGGATGGCTTTTTAATTCCTGGATTTTGGAGAAATGAAGGTGCCAATAAGGAGCATGCTGACCTTGTATGTATTCTGTAGCCAATCATTTACGGTTCACTGCAAGGGAAAGAACTAGTTCTTGGGGATTCCTGGGTTCAGGAGAAGCCGACGGGAGGACGTCCTGCCTGCCTGTGTGCAATGCTGGCAGTGGAGCGGCTTTCCCAGGACGCACGGGCGAGGGGGGTAGCGCATCACAACGTCTGCTGGTCGCGCATGGATATTTGATCACCTTTCTCTGCTTTCCTCACTTTAATGGAGGCACTTGCACAAGGGAAGCACAATTCACCATTAGTTGTCAAGGATTTCATTTGCATAATTCAAGATTCGCTCTGTTTATGTGGTCTACTGCGTTCCTGCACCGTACCGGATGGGCCCCCCACCCGACCATAACTCAGGCGGCATTTCTGTATATATCACCCGATTATATCTGCAGCAATCAAGCACCATAATTTCCTAAATCCGGTGATGCAATAAATTTCTGCAATCAGATTTATTAAAAACACACACGCAGATGCGGGAGTGTATTTCCACGGTGAACTCTTTAATCTAACATATGTATGATGAAGCCCGGCACCGTGTGGAAAGACCCCATTTGTCACCACTAATACACATTCATCTCGCACACACAATGAAACACTTCTACCATTAGATAATGAAATAAAAGGACTATTAACCCACTGCAGATCCTTTCCCCTCTAAGAGACAAAATGCCTGGTAATTGCCTTATATCACGTCTGCAAGCCAGCCAGTAAATCTGCTCAAGAGAAGTTCACCATAACACAGACCTCCTATCACTCGGAGACTCTAGAGTCTGCTCTAAACCCGCATGAGAGTCTGTGGCCCAAGGAGGCTTCTGGAGAAATCAGAGGGGAACTAGAGACTTGTGGGTCCAGAAGGACAAAGGCTGAGGCGTAAAGGGAGCTCAGGTGGTCTGGCCCATAGGGTGTTGTGCTTCTAACCCAAAGGTTGTACCTCTCTGGCAGTCTGAATCTCCTTCCATGCTATTTACTGCTCTGCAAATTCAATACAGGGTCAGCTATGAGATGTTTCTAACTTGACAGCAATAAGAGAGGGAGGGAGAGAGAGGGAGAGGAGAAGGCGAGAGAGAGAAGGAAGGAGAGAGAGAGGAGAGAGAAAGAGAGCGAGAAGGAAGAAGAGAAAGACAGGGACAGAGTGATAGGGAGAGTGACAGGGAGGGAAATAAAGAGGAGGAAGGAGAGAGAAGGAAGGAGAAAGGAGGAAGGGAGGGGGAGAGAGGGGAAGGAGAAAGAAAAGGAAGAAGAGAGAAAGAGAAGGGGACAGAGACGGAGGGAGAGAGAAAGGAGGTAGGAAGGGGAAGAGAGAGAAGAGAGGGAGAGAGAGGGAAGAAGGAAGAAAGAGAGGGGGAAGGAAAAAGGGGGGAGGCAGAGAAAGAGAGCAGGGGGAGGAGAAAAACAGAGAGGAGAGAGACAGAGAAGGTGGGAGAGAAAGAAAGAGAGCAAACTCTTAACTCATTGTTGTTGAGTTGAATCGGACTCAGTTGACCGCCCAGCTGGTTTTCAGGGGCTGTAACTTTACTAGAGGATCTGAACAGGGGAAGGTAAGGAAACGGAAGTCAGTGCGCTGTCCAAGGTGCTGAAGTTAATTCTGGGCCGAGTCCAGGGCACATAGTTCTGCTAGACTAGTTGCCATGCAGTCAGCTCTGCTTCAGGGTGGCCCCACGCGCTACAGAGCAGAGCCGCGCTCCACAGGGCTCTCTCGGGTGAAATCCGCAGGGAAGCACACTGCCAGGCCTTTCTCCACCGTGCCTCTGGATGGGGCCAAACACAACCTTCCAGACAGCAGTCAAGCACAAACCACTTCTGTTACCTGTCGTGCATGGACTCAGCCCAAACTCTCCATGGGGGTTTCAAGCAAGGAGGGAGAAAGTGATATGAAAGAGGGGAGAGAGAAAGAGTTCCTGACATACTGTCAAGCTGACAGAAGGAAAATAAAAGGGAGACTTCTGCTTCATCATCATGTAAAAAATCATCGCAGTTTCTAATAAAGAAACCACAATCGACCACAACTAAATATTGAGTGACTGGGGAGGGGGAGAGATGTGAGTTAGCAGCAATAGATGTGATCAAAGGTAGACAAGAACCAATCAATCGAGGCGTTCAGGTAGACAGAACCTCACTTGCAGGAGAGAAGGAGCTGGAGCGCAGCGGTTGCCTGAGCTGTAGCCAGTGCCTCCAGTCTCTCGTCTATCTGGATGATCAGGATGAGATTCTCCTGTTTTTACATTCCATCAGGAGACCTGACATCACTCGTGTCTGGAGTACCACGTGCCTGATGTGCAGTGTCTGTCACTGGGATACTCTACCCAGGCTGACCCCACAACCAGTAAGCCTACTAGGGGCTGGACACGGACTCTTCATATGAAAGATCAAACCCAGTCTTAGAGAGGTGAGGGGAGCAGTGTTCCACTGCCTCATGTACTGCCCCAGTGACCAGGGAAGCATGCCTTAGGGCTGACCTGACCCCCCACCACTGGAATAACCCAGGCTGCTGGCAGGGACAGAGCTGACAGATGGACTCTGCTGTGCCCATGCTGCAGGTGGAGCAGAGGCAAGTCGAACCCTGGCATCACTCCAAGGCCAGTTCCTGGTGTCCAGCGGGCCTTGCCTTCTCAGTCCTTAGAAGCAGGAGACCAACTTTTCCCCATCTTGACTTTTCCCAAGTCTATGTTCACGCTTCAAGTCTGAATTTGCACCGCATTTACTGGGCTCTGTGCAAATAACATGCGTGTTACAGGTGTTTTTGCTAACTGTGCAACCCCGAGCTATTTTTGCAAGTGTGTTGTGCCACACATTATCCATGGAGTCATGACGTCTATCTACTTGGGCGTGCTATTTGCCAAAAAAATGCAGCACCGGGTAAACACGCTCTGCTTTCTCCTCATAGTAGTAGCAGCAGCGGGAATTAAAATAGCAAAATTATGTGTTGTTATGTATGTACTTATCATGATAAAAAGTCATGAGATAATAATTACAAGTAGCATCTATCAAGTGCTTACCGTATTCCAGGCACTATGCTAAGCACCATCCTAGATCATCTCATGTAACACATTAAAGTGTCCGTAAGGTGATTCAAGCTGGAGATAAGAAATAAATTACCATCAAATCTAATAATTTAGGTGTGGCTTACGTCCTTGTGGAATTAGAAAGGCAACTTTTTAATGCCTTTCACTTACCTGGCTTCTGCCTCGCTTCCCCACTGGCTGGAATCTACTTAAATAGTGGACTATGTAACACATCAAGCAGAGAAACTGCTGAGAGGTCTGTGGGTTGCTCAGGTCAGTAAAACACTCCGAAGAAGTCAATAAATGTTAAAAAGTGAAGACTGACAAAGTCTTGCCAAGTTTAGCTTTCTCAAGCAAGGGCATAAAAAACCCACTCCCATCCAAACTGAAAAACCCCAACATACCAAAACACAAGGGCCAGTTCTAACATCAACAGCAGTGTTTTAAAACAAATACCCTTTTCGGGTTTGTTTCTTAATTTTTTAAAAATTTCTTTTATATTGGTTTGCTTACAAAGTTCATATATATTGTGTTTCCCACTATCCTTCAAAACAAACATCTTTTGTTGTGATGAAAATTTCATGGCCCCATAGTTCTTTTGAAGGCACAGAGAAATGTCCTAGACATGAACCAGGAGGTCTAAACTTCCACAAACACAGCTAAGAGGGCCTCTGCTTTGCTAGCCTGGGTGAAATCAGTCTCCCCTCCCACCCTGGTCTGGCCCAGCCCCTGGGGAGCCATGATTAACACAGCCCTAGACTCCGGCCGGCTGGGTCGGTCGGGAGGAGACTCAGCTGATTAACCAGCCGTCAGCAGCAGACAGACAGCCCGGAGCCCAGCGCAGGGCATTCAAATAATGATCATCATAAACAGCCCATTTGCAACTAAAAAGAAATAATTTTAATGAGCTTGAAGCAGATGATAGATGCAGCTGAGGCTTGGGCCAGTGCCCACAGAGGAAGCAGGCGGGAATGGAGCGGTATGGGGACCAGGGTGCCACAGAAGGAAGCTGGGTGAGGAGCAGGGGACACTCACCCAGACACCAGCATGGTGGGGCTCCTGGGCCGGAGACTCCCAGGCACCTTGGGACGTCTGGGCCAGAAGGAGCCTCCAGGACCATGCGGTCCTTCAATGCCCAGCACAGGTGGCCCTCTGCAGAAATGCTGCCATGGCCCATACACTTACTTAGCATTTGGCCTTCATATGACTTCTTTTAGCCCCTGGTTGGTTGAGATATAAAGGTTTACTTGCAATTTTAAGCTCGGTGAATTTTTACCCCTGTGCAGCTGCCAGTCAGATCAAGATACAGAACATTTCTGATACCAGTCAGTTCCTTGAGAGGTGACTAGTGTTACGATCCTAGTATCAAAGACCATGTTCAAGTG